CATACTGATTGAAACAGGATCTGGAACCCATCACTGGCCCAGGGGACCAGGATAGCATCTTCCAATATTTGAGGGGCGGCCCCAGAGAGGAGGGAGGGTCAAGCTATTTTCCAAGGCACCTGAAGGCCAGACAAGGAACAACGGATGGAAATTAACCAAGGAGAGATTCAACCTGGAAATAAGGAGGAATTTTCTGACAGTGAGAGCCATCAACCCATGGAACAGAAGTTGCATTCGGAAGTTGTGGGAGCTTCATCCCTGGAGGCTTTCAAGAAGAGACAGGACAGCCATCTGTTATAAATGGTGTAGGGTCTCCTGCTGGACTAGATGACCCACAAGGTCCCTTTCAACTCTGTTAATCTGTTAATCTCTATTAATCTACACTAAAGCAATAAAACGATAGACACACATACATCCAAGTGTAATAAAAATGTGAATTACAATTTATGACTGAAAGATAGGGAGGGAAGAAGTAGGATGAGCTGGAGGGGGGGATCTGCTACTGGTCCATCCACACACACACACCCAGTGTGACACTCCCCCATTGGGACCCCAAGCCAGCTGGCAGAGTCTTAATTAAGATCTTAATTAAATTAAGATCTTAATTTGTTTTTTCCCAAGTCAGCTAAACTGGTAACAATCACGACGTCTTGTAGGACAGAATTGTGCCAATTAGCTCCAGACAGATTAAGGGAAAACTAGGCATCAAGATTTTCTGGGATTCAACCACAAATATTACACCTGATTTAAGCACATAAAATTGGTAACTATAATTGCAGGTAGTCCTCAAATTACAACAGTTCACTTAGTGACCATTCAAAGTTATGACGGCACTGAAAAAAGTGGCTTATGACCAGTTTTCACACTTATGACCATTGCAGCATCCCCATGGCCATGTGATTTACGTTTGGATGCTTGATAATTTTCTCACATTTACGACAATTGCAGAGTCCCGGGGTCATCTGATCCCCCTTTGCGACCTTCTGACAAGCGAAGTCAATGTGAGAACCAAATTCACTTAACAGCCTTGTTACAAACTGCACAACTGCAGTGATTCACTTAACAAACGTGGCAGGAAAAGTCATAAAATGGGACAAACTCACTGAACATGTTTCTCACTTAGCAATGTACGTTTTGGGCTCAATTATGGTTGTAAGTTGAGGCATAGGTTGAGGAATGTAAGAGACTGGACTGCCATCTGTCAGCAATGGTGCAGAGTCTCCTGCTTGGGCAGAGGGTTGGACTAAATGACCTACAAGGTCCCTTCCAACTCTCTTAATCTGTTAGAATACTTGTATATGTTGTATAGTTAGAATAAGTTTGCCTCCACCTATCCTCATTTGTTCTTTTTTCCCTTCTTTTTCTTTTTCTGGTGAATGGAAGGATGGGACGTATGGCCTGAACTGCAGCGAACGTTGTGATTGTGACCACGCAGATGGGTGTGATCCTTTGACTGGCTATTGCTGTTGCCTTGCTGGCTGGACAGGTAACATGAGATACAATCAAATGCTTCATCTTGGAGCTCAGCTAGATGCTGCCATCTCTCCATCCTTTGCCTTAAATCAGGTGTGACCAACCTGCTGCCTGCAGGCCCTGGATCCGTTTAGTGACCGTTTGAGTTTACAACAGCAGGAAAAAAAAGGACTCGTGATTGTTTTCACACCTAGAACCGTTGCAACATCTCCAGGGTCATGTCATCAAAATTCCGACGCTTGGCAATTGACTCATATTTACGACAGTTGCAGTGTCCTGGGTTCACTGCGTGAGCCACTTTTGCAACCTTCTGTAAAAGCAAAATCATTGAGGTGGTCAGATTCACTTAACAACCATGCTACTAACTTAACCCGTGCAGTTCTTCACTTAACGACTGTAGCAAGAAAGTGTATAATGTGGCTCAAAACTCGCTTAACAACTGTCTCGCTTAGCAACGGAAAGGTTGGGTTCAGTTGTGATCGTCAGTGTAGGAGTAATGTCCCTGAACAATTTCTGATAGCAGAATTTTGTTACCTGGTTACTACTCATTTACTTTTCTTAATAAGCAAATGGCTGCGTAAAATTTCCAACGGTTATTACAGTCCCAAATGTGGAGCAATGCCCAGCCAACCAGGGAAGAGGAGCCCTATGGGAAATTAACCTTGAATTGTTGCTCAACCACAAGAAATTCAGGATTGCCCCCAACACACAGACACACAGACACACAGACACACACACACACACATTCCAAGGAACCTTACCTGTCTGATCCCATAGGGAACAAGCAGTCTGTGAAGATTCCTCTATTATAGGCAGAATATAATAAAGTAGTTAGCTTGAAATCTACATTTCTGGATCTGGTTGTTTTTTATCCATGATGTACATCATTAGAGCTGTGGTGGCACAGTGGTTAGAATGCAGTATTGCAGGCTGACTCTGCCTACTGTCAGGAGTTCGATCCTGACCAACTCAAGGTTGACTCAGCCTTCCCTTCTTCCAAGGTCTGTAAAATGAGGACCCAGATAATTGGGGGACAATATGTTGACTCTGTAAACTGCTTAGAGGGGGCTATAAAGCACTAACAAGCAATATATAAGTCTAAGTGAGATTGCTATTGCTATTGCTATTCTATTCTATTCTTTCTACTGTTTTTGTAATTTTGTTCTGTTCTATTCTGTTCTATTGCTATGGTGGCACAATAGTTAAAATACGGTATTGCAGGCTGACTCTGCCTACTGTCAGGAGTTCGATCCTGACCAACTCAAGGTTGACTCAGCCTTCCCTTCTTCCAAGGTCTGTAAAATGAGGACCCAGATAATTGGGGGACAATATGTTGACTCTGTAAACTGCTTAGAGGGGGCTATAAAGCACTAACAAGCAATATATAAGTCTAAGTGAGATTGCTATTGCTATTGCTATTCTATTCTATTCTTTCTACTGTTTTTGTAATTTTGTTCTGTTCTATTCTGTTCTATTGCTATGGTGGCACAATAGTTAAAATACGGTATTGCAGGCTGACTCTGCCTACTGTCAGGGGTTTGATCCTGACCGAAGCAAGGTTGACTCAGCCTTCCATCCTTCCGAGGTGGATAAAATGAGGAGCCAGATTGGGTTCACCGACAAAAGGAATAAACAAAAGTGCGCCCGACGAAACCGTGGTGGCAAAACCGCGAGTTCTAAACCACGCCGACAAATGAGCGCTGAAGCACGCTGACAACAGTGCGCCGACAGAAGCACGCTCTAACCCTAACTCTAACCCTAAACCTAAACCTGACCCTGGCTCTAACCCTTACCTTAACTTAAATTGCGCTTCTGTCGGCGCGCTTCTGTCGGCGCGCTGTTGTCAGCGTGCTTCAGCGCTCA